ATCATCCTCTTCATGCATGTTGTCTTACTCCAAGCTGTATAGGCTCGAAAGCCTACTACCAATTAAGCATATTAGGTGATGTGCATCTCTGTAATGAGAAGGGGTGTGGTCTAATGACATCAACACCCTATATCAGGTGTGCATAATTATTAGGCAACGTCCTTTCCTTTGGCAAAATGGGTCAAAAGAAGGACTTGACAGGCTCAGAAAAGTCAAAAATAGTGAGATATCTTGCAGAGGGATGCAGCAGTCTCAAAATTGCAAAGCTTCTGAAGCGTGATCATCGAACAATCAAGCGTTTCATTCAAAATAGTCAACAGGGTCACAAGAAGCGTGTGGAAAAACCAAGGCGCAAAATAACTGCCCATGAACTGAGAAAAGTCAAGCGTGCAGCTGCCAAGATGCCACTTGCCACCAGTTTGGCCATATTTCAGAGCTGCAACATCACTGGAGTGCCCAAAAGCACAAGGTGTGCAATACTCAGAGACATGGCCAAGGTAAGAAAGGCTGAAAGACGACCACCACTGAACAAGACACACAAGCTGAAACGTCAAGACTGGGCCAAGAAATATCTCAAGACTGATTTTCTAAGGTTTTATGGACTGATGAAATGAGAGTGAGTCTTGATGGGCCAGATGGATGGGCCCGTGGCTGGATTGGTAAAGGGCAGAGAGCTCCAGTCCGACTCAGCAAGGTGGAGGTGGAGTACTGGTTTGGGCTGGTATCATCAAAGATGAGCTTGTGGGGCCTTTTCGGGTTGAGGATGGAGTCAAGCTCAACTCCCAGTCCTACTGCCAGTTTCTGGAAGACACCTTCTTCAAGCAGTGGTACAGGAAGAAGTCTGCATCCTTCAAGAAAAACATGATTTTCATGCAGGACAATGCTCCATCACACGCGTCCAAGTACTCCACAGCGTGGCTGGCAAGAAAGGGTATAAAAGAAGAAAAACTAATGACATGGCCACCTTGTTCACCTGATCTGAACCCCATTGAGAACCTGTGGTCCATCATCAAATGTGAGATTTACAAGGAGGGAAAACAGTACACCTCTCTGAACAGTGTCTGGGAGGCTGTGGTTGCTGCTGCACGCAATGTTGATGGTGAACAGATCAAAACACTGACAGAATCCATGGATGGCAGGCTTTTGAGTGTCCTTGCAAAGAAAGGTGGCTATATTGGTCGCTGATTTGTTTTTGTTTTGTTTTTGAATGTCAGAAATGTATATTTGTGAATGTGGAGATGTTATATTGGTTTCACTGGTAAAAATAAATAATTGAAATGGGTATATATTTGTTTTTTGTTAAGTTGCCTAATAATTATGCACAGTAATAGTCACCTGCACACACAGATATCCCCCTAAAATAGCTAAAACTAAAAACAAACTAAAAACTACTTCCAAAAACATTCAGCTTTGATATTAATGAGTTTTTTGGGTTCATTGAGAACATGGTTGTTGTTCAATAATAAAATTATTCCTCAAAAATACAACTTACCTAATAATTCTGCACTCCCTGTACAAAGGCAAGCAGGCTCCACCCCAGAACCCACAGGGCCCAAGGGAACTGCTACCAAAGTCATTCCACCAGACATGACAAGACACCTTTAAATGTCACATGTCAATGCCAGAACACCTATACAAGAGGCCTAAAACAATAATAATCAGGTGGTTTTAATATTACAGCATAATAAAGGGACTAACAAGATACCCCTAAAGAAAAACTCTGGAGATCTGAGAGATGCTTGGTTGTTCTAAATGGGGAAGACTTGGAAAGTCGAGTACACAGGATTTAGACAACAATCGCATTACCTTACAACACTCATTATTATGTTTGCATTGGTGTATAGTTCACTGAAAATAATAATCACAGTTTTTTCATTAACTTATAATGAGCCCTTTTATAGCTACAAAGGGAAAAGGTTGTCGCTTATGGATTCAGCCACAGCTATAACCCAAAATGGACAAAATCAACAGTATCTCCACAGAAGGTGTTTTCAGATAAATTCTTTTTTTTTTTGTTAAGCCACTTAACATAACAGAAAATTGACCAAAGATCCAATTTTAAATTGCATCTTTAAGAACAACAAGGTTCTATTAGCCAAAATCAGATGCTAATAGCAAGCTATTAGCCAAAAACAGTGCATCCTTAAGAAAGTCGATGGAACTAGACAAGTGGAGGACAAAAGAAGCGACAGACCAAAAAAACTACAGCAGAAAAAAAACATCTGAAAGTCATGTCCCTAAAAATATGGAAATGTATTGCAAAGACCTGACATAGGACCTCAGAAACGCATCTAGCCCTTAAGTTGATACATCTGATGTTCACTGAAGCCTCATCAGAAATGTCTCGGTGGAAGGGTGGCTGTCAAGAAGCCATTCTTACGGAATGAAAACAGGGAGAAAACGGAGAAGCATGCTAATTACAAAGGAACTGGACTAAAAATCAATGCCAGCAGGTCTTATGGAGTGATTCCAGTAGGTAGAATAGTGAGTGGCAAGTAATTTGTAAATCACGGTGGAGGCTCTGATATGGTTTGGAGCTTCCCCAGTGGTGTTGGAGATTATGCAACGGCTTTGTTTTTCATGATAATGTTCTCAAACACACTGTAGTAAAAGCATAGTTGGATAGAAAAACACACCATGGAGCACTATCAGTCATGGATTGGCCTGCCCAGAGCCCAGACGTCAACATTATTGAAGCAGTGTGGAATAAATGGCCTTCAAGAAGCCTGGAGAACTATTCCCGAAGACTAGTTAAAGAAATGACAAAAAAGGTGACTAAGAGACTTCAGGTTATGCTAAAGAATAAAGGAAGTCATACCAAATATTGACTCTGAAGCTCGTTAGAACCGTACAGACTCTGCTTTTACAGTACCTTATATACAGTCATTCCATATATGTTTGCACGTTTCAATAAGTTGCTGCACCTATTTCCCATTTTCTGAGCAAAATATAAAGAAGGATTGGCTCAAGACTTTTGCACAGTACTGTACACTAGACATATATAATGTGTCTCACTCATACACACAGACACATACTTTGGAGGTGTGTGCAGTATATGTTATGTTACCCATCAAAAGAGAATAAAAACTCTATGCTTACAATAAGCCAATGATTCATCACTGGCATTATAAGTTATGCCAGTTTAGCTAATGAGAGAACTAAATTTATAGTATCCTCGCCATTTTACCTCAACTAAACCCACTGCTGCTTCTGAGTTCTCAAATCCAGTAGAATATTTTCTGTCTGCTTTTCTCCATTCACTTTTATTTTGCGGTCTTATACTAACTACAAAGGGGGAAAGTCTTTGGACTTATGTCCTTTTATAACTTCAAAGGTGCAGTGTAACCATGAATGGTCTGGAAGCCTCAGATGAAATTAATGCATGATACTGTGAATAGCAATATGCACTCCATATTTGCATGTTTTCTCATAGTTCAACGAAGGCTCCAATAAATCACAAACTAATAGTGCTTTTGTGTTTTTCCTTTTTCTATGCTTGGGTTGAATGTACTGTCTGGCTGCATTAGATTAACATTAGTTTTTGTGTGCCAATGTGCCACATTTACAAATTGTAACATAGACAGCAGGAGGTGTTTTTGGTGGATGGTGGGCGTACAAAGCGACTCTTACACAAAGGACCGGGTTTCACATCCAGACTTCCATCTGTGGTTAGGTTTAGGCAACAAAAGCACTTTGAATTGGGTTTTGATTGAATGTACATAAACACACTGTGTGTCAAGTCACTGTTGCTTTTTTTACTGTATTAAAAGTACACCATGGTCTTTCCTAAGTGTTGTGAGTACCTAAATGAACGTATTAAAAAAAACGTAAATAGTGCTTTAGTCAGTACAAACTCGACAGACAGAATATTCTTGCAGAACAAAAAATACAGCAGTGAGCAAATTTCTAATACCAAAAACCAAAAACATGCTGTATGTACAGTGATGTGCAAAAGTCTTGAGCCACCCCACATTTTCTAGGAAAATGGGAAATTGGTGTGTTTGGGATCTTTGTCATGCTGTGCCACCCTTCCACCATTTCTGATGACTCTCCATTGTTGGATCAGCCAGGGTCAGATGCAACTCTGAAGTCCTGTGTCAAGTCTGAGCTAGATTTTTCCTTTTTCTTCAGGACATGACTTTTGGATACTGTTCATCTGCTGTAGATATTTTTTTTTAGGCGTGCTTATTCTTCTTTTGTCCTCAATTATCATATATGCAAAGTTTTCAGTTAACAGCTCTATGGGAATCACGATGGTCAAACTCTGTAGTCTTTATTCAGTGTTGAGCAGCTTAGAAAAAAAAAGATTCCTCTGAAAATGGTCAGGTACAAAGACTGGATTGAAAATGAGTGAACAGCAGCCAACATCCAAAGAAAAATTTGGAAGACTGTCAGAAAGCCTGGAGAACGATTGCTCAAGACTACTTTAAATATAATAAGAAAGTCTGCCTCTGAGGAAATAAAACGTGATGAAATCAGGGGTGGCTAAAGACTTTTGCATAGTACTGTATTCCTAATACTACCAGCAAAAGCCCTGTACAGCCTTCTGTTGGAACCCATTTATTGACTATATGAAAACATTTTTTGTTTGTTTTATTCTGTTTCTCTTTACGTGAGCCTCGGGTAGGGAGGGGGGGGGGTTCTTTTTGTTAGTTTTTTTTTGTTTTTTTGTTTGTTTTTTGTGTATAATTGCAACGTTTTCATTATGTATTGTGACCATGATTTGTAAAAAAAAAAAAAAGTGATTGAATAATCATAGATTTTGAAATTATGTCTTTTCCATGTGCTTTTTGCCAGTGCAAGCTAACTGCTGCTATGTTCATTACTTCTCAACAGCAAAACTAAAACAGTAACAGACAGAGCCACACGCCACAATGCACTGATGGTATGTCAGTGAATACACTGATGTGCAACTGTTAGCAGGCAGGCATACCTGTTTCACCATGGCTGTCATTAATTGGTTAAATGTGTATGTTTGCGTGTGTTTGCTTGTGTCTTACTCGGGTTTGCCTCTGAATTTACACGACAGTTCCAGGTTCTCTCCTTCTCTGGTCAGACCCTGAGGAAATTCTACCACGATCTTAACTTCTGGTTTGTCTGAAAAAATGAGAAAAACACAAAGTATTAAATATCCAGATAACATTAGTGACAAACTACAAGTTCTTGTCATGAATTCTGGTCTGCTGTAAAAATATTTATAGTATAACTTTAGTATCAACATAATGATAAGCACATGCATCAAAGCTGAAATTTGTGGTCAGGAGTAGAACGTAAAACTGCTAAATCCAATTCAACCTGGGAGTGACATGCAGAACAATGAAGTTGCACGAGGCATTGGTTGGTGTCAATCAGCTTTGCCGACTTCTCGCATTTATATGAACTGAGGGAGGATTTCGAGCACTAATAAGGTGTCCAAGGAGCAGGGAGATCACATCTAAGATCTTGACCATTCAAGGCTTAAAATAAGTAATCTGAAAAGCAGAACCCACAAACAACACTGTGAATCCTTTTTGTGGATCTTCAAATGAAAGAAGCAACCAAATATTGATTAAATTTATTAGTTGTCATCCAATTTCTTAGATGTAAGTACATCTAAGAAATTGGCCTCTTTTTTAATGTGGGCTCTTTTACCTTATATTACATAAAGCACCTTCTGGTGACAATTGGAGATACTAAGCCAGCACTTGAAATCTGAGATTTTAAAGGGGACATACAGTTATATCCAAACCTAAAGACTTCTGGAACAATCTCCTTTGACAGATGAGACTTAAGTTGAGATGGCTAGTCATATTGCATAGCTCTACCTTTAGGGAAAACCAATCGCAGCATATCGGCACAAACACCTCATACTAACTGTCAGTGGATGGGTGATAAATCGGACTTGTTTTGCTGCCACAGGCCTGGACACCTTGCAGTCAGTGAGTCAAACATGAACTTCTCTGTTCTTAAATTTGATTCCTCTAGAGTCAAATCTGAGGCCATCTGTCTGACAGCTAAAGCTTGATTAAAACTGGGTCATGAAACAGGATAATGATCCTAAGCACAGCAGCAACAGAATGCAGCAAAGATCAAGTAAAAGTCAACATAACTTAAATGGTGTGGTGGGACCTTAAAAGAGTTGCGCCTCAACGGATGCCACAAACCTCATTGAAATGAAGCAATGTTGGAAGGAAAAGTGGTCCACAATGACTCCACAATGACGTGAGACTGATAAAGTCACACAGCAAACAATTATATAAAATTATCGCTGTTAAAGGTGGTTCTACAGGCTGATAAATCCTGGGATATACTTTGTTTTTAAAGGTCCTGCAAACACTTTCTTTTCCACATGACATTTGATTTTTCCAGGGTTATATTGTACATGGTAAAAAATCAGGGATTCCCTGTACAGACTCTTGGGGAACCCCACAAAACACAGGAAGCATAAAAGGGAATCTTTCCATTGAATGCGTTCTCCTTATACGGATGTTGTTAAAAACCGTAGAGAGAGACAGAAAGTTGTTAATAATGGTTAAAATGTTCAGGGCAAGCATTTGAAATAGCTTCTACTTTTAAAAAGACAGAAAGAGAATGGTGCCTGAAGAGCAAACCCTTAAAAGGTGCGAGGATTAACAGGAAATACAGCAACAAGAACAACATCCATGACCTGCCTCAGCAGTGTTCAAGCATCAGAGGAGGCCAGGTCATGTTTAAGTTGCTAAAAGGCACTGTTATTGTTATTAGGACTGAGCTGCTATGTTGCTTAGTCCGGGGGGGGATTTGACTTGACATTAAGTAAACAGTAAATTACTTTCAAGGTGTTTTCCTTTAAATTTCCTGCTATTACAGCCTGTGCATACAGATTACAGAGCATCAAACCAGCTATACGTGAGCATATTTTTGTTTAGTGTACATTTTAGGTTCTAGGCTATAAAGTTATTTTTATTCCTGCTCTATTTCTTTTTGCCACTGTTCCCTGCCCCAGCCAACTGATAAATGTTGTCTCATCTTATCTTTTGTGGATATGTAAATTAAAGAAGACAGCAAAACATAAAGCACTAGGAGATGATAGGTGGGCACTGGGCAGGATCACAAGTAGCTTGGTATGTTCAAAGATGCTTCCTGTTAAAGTTGCAAAAGCACTTTAGTAGCTGTTACAGCTGGAGAAAAAAAGCATGTAAGAATGCTGTTTTGACAAATCAGTGGGGTGCTTTGACAGTCACCGCTGTGCTATTCTCTGCACCCGTGGAGTTTTGGTTGTTCCCATCGCACTGGCTGTTGCTGGTGCTATCAAAGCCTTTTTTTCACCTTGGCGTAAGAGACGACTGAATGTAATGTTTTATTCAATCTATCAAACGGATAAGGGATTGAATTCGTTCTTGCCATGCACTGAATGGGAAATGGGAAACGGAAGCTCTCGTCTGACTTACAACCTTTCGCTAAGGTTTAAAAATGCCAGGTATGTTTTGGTTGATGGTTCCAGTCAATGAGGTGTCCTGCTGACAGAAAACCGAAGAACATTTGCTTTTTATCTTGCCGTCTGCTCAGCAACAGCACATCTCAAAAGGGAAACATCATCCCCATCTTTTTTGTAAATGCAATCGATGTCACAAATACCATTTACATGAATGTAATAAAAAGAGCATAAGAGTATTTTTACCCCATGAAAAAAAAGGTTTTGTTCTAGTTTTGTTAAAAATTTAACATTAAATGGCAGAGAGAAATGCCATTCAGTGGAACCATTTTATTTCAAAGTAGAGTAATTATAGTTTACCAGTTATGATGCAAATTATTCTTGTTCTCTTCCTCTTTTTATCGCCTAAATCCACTTTTTGGTGCGTGTGTTTTTTAATCAGCCTGTAGTTGGAATGATCGAGGCTGAGTTATGATTTCAAAGCTGGCGGTAAAGTTCCACGCTGCTGTCCGACCTTCTCGGCAATAAACAACACGTGTCTGGCCATCCATCTGTCTAAATCACACCCTGTCAGTGGCTGGCTTTCAGTTTCTGTGATGGACAGCAGATGGGCAAAAAGCCAAGTCTTCTGCTCAGTGGGCATGCTTGGATTTAGACAGCAACCCTTTGGTTTTATTTCCACTCCAGGCACTACATGGCATCCTGCAACTTTTTCTTTGCTCACGACGTCATCTGACCTTGTCATCTCGGAGCCATAAACATGAAGGACGCCAGGCATCTGTAGGTTGTTTTGATAGCCTCAAGTAGTTATGGCAAAGCTTTCTTGTCTCTGTTTGATGGGAAAACACTGTGCTGCCAGATTCGGATGCTGCCACTTCAGTGGAAATGAAATAGTGTCTACCATATGCAAGAGAGCCGTTATCATTATGCTAACTGAATTATTTGCTTTATTGTGTGCCTCACCTCATAAGCACTCAAGACGGCACTATCCATCTCTCGGCAGCCAGCTGACCTTATGGGAAAAACAACCCAGCATCCGAGCAAACAGCTTGCTTTCTTATACACATAATCATTAGTGTCTTATTTAATTATGCTGTCCCCTGACAATGGGCTTTTTTCCTCCGCCTTTTCTTACTACACAATGCTCTCCATTCCACTCACAAATTGCCTACACAGTGGGTGAATGAAATGTAAATCAACCAGTGTACTGCATCTAATCAGTAAGCTAACTTGCATGTCACTGTAGAAACTGCAGAAGTAGGCTTTATTTTAGTTTTGTCATTCATAATTTTCTCACCAGACATATGCACTTTTTAGATATGTTAATGGGAAGGGCTCTGTGGTGACAATTAGAAGGAAAAAGCAGACAGTTCATTGGGGTTGTAAAGATACATAGATTGTACATATAGTTCACGACATTTAAGGGACACAAAAACCAAAGTTTTCCAAACAGTTTTCTGTTAGCTATTGGGTCAGTCACACTAGAGTAAAATAGTCCAAAAGCAATCTCCTTGCTGATTAGGAATACACGGTGGTTGTGGTGACTGTGTTTAATTTTTTCGTAAGCGTGGCAATGAACGGTTGCACATTCCACCTCAGGCTGAGCACTTCTGATTGCAAGACAACTGCACACAACACCTCTTGGGAGGCATCCCGTCTCTAAACAATTGCAGTCAGTCTTGGATTGGCTGGAGTCACTCTCTGATAGACAGGCTGGTTAACGTTTGTGACTAATTTTCATCTAGTGTAATAAACACAGGCAGATTGCCAACATGCTGCAATCAATTTGAGTCAGGGTGCACCAATGAGCACGACTGTGCTTCGTTTTTGTAGTCGGGGGTTGAACTTAACTAACTACTTGTTAAATTCTGGCTATACATGCTATATAAAGCAAGGGTGCCTGTAAATTTGTAGGTAAATTTCCATCCTGCAACAATGTTACCATTTTGGATGAGATTAAAAGTAGAATGTAAGTAGTTTGCACAGATGTTTGTTCATTTATCACCAATAATCAATGATAATATAATGATACAAGTGCCAGCTTCACCCGAGTCAATCCCAAACTGACAGCAGACTGACTCTGTTGCTTTGAATCCAATAACTAACTGGGAACGATCAGTTTATTAAAGTCTCATTGAAATGATTAATAATGATTAATAATCTTGGTTGACCCATTGTCTCATCCATAAAACCTCTAACAGACAAAACATAAAATGGACTCGCTTGCAGAAGTTGCATTACTACATGCAGATATTGGACTACCAGCAGGGGGAGATGATATCTGTAAAGCCATTCCAGGGTGCTTAACTGCCAGAAATGATGAATCTAGGCAGCTAATATGTATCTACATGAAAATGTGTTAATAATGTCTGTTTAAACGCTTTCCCATGGTAATTTTCATGTTGGCTTGAAATAAAAATTCTCCCTCTGCTTTTACTGCAACTTACTGTAAATTCTGCATGCGTGTCTTTTTACTGATTTTAAGAGGCAAATAGTGAAATCGACATGGTGGAACGGCGTGTCGATTGCACGTTTCGTTGTCGGCTGCTCCTTCACTGTTTTCTCTAGTGTGACTGTAACATTAGTGACCAGTAGGGGCAGTATGATCAATGAAAACCACGACTACTAAGAGCCTTTTAATGCTATAGAAACAGAAAGCTTTTAAAGTAAAAGTTGTGAAAGGTGTTGGTTGAAAAACAATAATACTTCCACTAATTTTATACAATGCTGGTCCTTTTGCTAAAACAAATAAATTTAAAAAACAACAAAACAGAATCGTGACTCCAAACTGTGCATTTTGCACTTTATCACATCCCCGAGTGCTCAATTAGTAAACATCTACTTAATTCATACCAGTTGACTGTTAGTCTTTAGACAGTCCACAGAGAAACAAAATTCCTCTGGACATAGGAAGGATACACTAATAGCAGTTGCTATGTAATATTAAACTGTGTAACAGAGTTCAAAGAGAAGGTAGAGAGGAGGACTGTTTATGTCTGTTTGTTACCCACTACAGTATGCAAAGAGCATGGCAGCCTCAGCCCCTGCACGGAGCAGAGTGAGGCACTGAGCCGGGTGGTCAGTGTGAGCTCCCTGTTATCAGAGGCCAGCAAAATGCCATTCTGCCTCTGTAGATGAGCTGATCTCCTCCTCTCATGCTCATAGAGAAAGGTCAGATAGTGACAGAAGAGATTTTATTTTTTTAAATAAAATGCTAGGACATGCCAGAGGCCAAAGACATAAGGTTACAGAAACAATAAATACAGAACTTTAACCATTCTCTATTAACAAAAGATCTAATCATTCAGTCTAGGATTTTAATTACTTGTTACATGCTGTTTTATAGCAGTGTTGTGTTATTGCTATTATTAGTTATTGAGAAGACTCGTCTGTGCATATATATATATATATAAATAAAATACTGCAATTAAAAGTGGCTATTGCTGCAAAAGTGTCCTCCTGGCCTCCATTATGGGCCACGTGTTGTTTTTTTAAGGAACATTTAGTTGAATAAACAAGGTCAGATGATTAGATAGATAAACATTGTATTAACCATTCCTACATGAAAACAGGGGCATTATTTGAGAGTTTAATGAATTCTGAGAATGTTTGTACCTCACATACAAATAGAAGCAGCAAATTTAGAGTCTCATTCACTTGAGGAAAATAAGTAACATTCTATGTTTTTGAGAGATGTTGTAGAAATCTATAAGCCACTGGTTAGTTTAGTTAATCTAAGCATAGAGGTGCAGAGTGTCATGGTATGAGCACAAGGCATCAAGTCCTTCTCTGTTCAGCAATAAATACTAAGATCACTTAATGAGTGCATATTATCTATATATACATTTGTCAATAAATATGAAAACAAATGGAAATTAAGGATTGGATCTTAGCTTGTCCATGAATTTTCAAGGTCCTGCATGGAGAAGCATGGCTGTACATTGACATCCATCTATTCCCACCAGGACCCTGAGGGCATGTGATCAGGGCTGTGCACTGGGAAATAAACATGACAGAGCTTCTGCAACAGCACCCCACCACCGAGACTAAAACTAACTCAGAAATAAATGTTCTAATTGTTATAATAAACATTAACTTCATATTAGCAAAATGTAAGGTTAATTGTCCACAGGGAGCTTTCAGCTGCTTCCTAACAGCTCTTAAGGTTCAGCATTGACTTTTTATTTAAAAATACCCTCAGCATTAAAGTATTAAAAAACATTTTCAATTGAAAATAGTTACATTTTTGGAGTACCATGGAGTTTTTTCCAGTGCCATTTCTCTCACAACATCAAAACGAACTCCAGACTTAAAATATTAACGCCGTCAAAGGTGGACAAGAAAGTGATCCTAGCTGTCACAGATTACCCTGTAATTTAAAATCTAATAGTGAGCTAACACGGTTTTAGCTAACCTTTCTAAATGAAAGCACAGACGTTCACCACAAGGAAGTACTAAAAGATGCTTTTTGGAACAACAATAAGGATTTAAGAGAGAGTGGCCAGGTGTCATACTTGTCAAATCAAAGATAAACTGCAAATTGCAGATTGGTTGTTAGTATTTAATTACAGGTGTAAACTGATACAAAAGCTTTACGTGCAGCACAAAGCACATATCAAGAACAGAACTGGATCCTGACAGATCATTTTATAAATGAATGCAGACTTCCTGACAGGCATTTAATTTCTGATGCTAAATTTAAGAGCGTTGCCTGGCTAAGGGTGAATTATGGCGATTTATTTATATTTACATCTATATTTTATTTTCTATTCTTTTGCACTGTTGCCGTGCATTTGTAGCAAATATTTGTAGTAAATAGTTACCGTGCATTTTGTTTGCACTTCCTTGACATTAGGCTAGGGGAAAAAACACAACTCTAAAATATTTATTTCTGATGCACATGTGAAATATTTTTCCACAAAACACTACCACCTGCACACTGTGCACTCTGCTGTTTGCACCAAAATACTCCACAGGCAGCCGAAACATGTCTGAAGTCAGGAAAACACCAGTTGAAAAGATCTGCTTGTGCTGGCCATTGTGCCACCAAGATAATAGCTTTTTAAGTATGCATCTGTTTTGCATTCAAGTAGATCTGCAGATTTTTTTTCCATGCTTCTCACAAAGAGGTGAGAAGAGCAAAGTGAAATTCAAATTTAACACCGACATGTTTTTCCGGAGGAAACTAAACACGTCATCTTTCAGCTCTCCCTTCAGGGGTCGATCATCACCCTCCATCTCACCCTCTCTGTTGCATCCCCAGCTTTGCATGAACCCTGTACACCTTCTCCTTTGTTACATCTGTAAACCACCTCTACATTAATTTTTTCCTACTCACACAAGATGAATCTTTTTTTTTTCCAATGGCAAAGCCTTTCACCAAACTTTCAGAGGGTGGTGGGGGGATAGGTTGTGGAAAGTTTATGTCATTTAATTAGTGAAGATAGAACTGTCTACTGTGTTACAGTCCAATTTCCCCTTTTATTCATTATAACATGCATAATTTTCTTTCAATGTCACTGCCACACCTCATGCATTAAACTTTTAGTTGCGGGTAAGAAAAAAGCAAATCTATTCCATTTAATTAGTAGGAATGGAACACTCTTCTCTAATCCGGTCCATTTTTCTGAATTAAGATGATGAGTTAGGCAGATGATACTCAGAAAAAAGGAAAAAAGGGAAAGTATAACGCTGTTTAAATATCCATCAAATGCTGATTTCTAATTTATTACCAAGCTGAAGCACTTACACTGCACCTCCAGGTATTTCTGTGCCTGGAAGTCCTTGACTGCAGGGTGGTCGACGATGCAGATCACAGGTACGCCGTCATCCTCTTTGCTAACGGTGAACGTCAGTCGGCTGGTTACTGTGTACATCTTGTCGTAGGTCAGTTCAACTTTGGGCTTGCCTATGGTAAGAAAGAACAAAGACAAAACAAATAAAGGAGGTCAAATCAATTCACTCAGATGGTTCTGGCAGGAGCCATCTATCCAGTGGCACTGGGGTGTGGAACAGAAACTGCTGGGACAGTAGTTGTACTGTGGGAGAAGCACCTCTAGGAAGCTCGCCTGGAAATCCAACCACAGCAGCCATACCAGGACTTTAGTTGGTTTGAGCAAACAGCGCCAAACACCGACTCGCTCTTTTGGTGTAAAAAGTTGGAGTTTGGTTTAAAGTAAAAACTGCACAGCTTGCTGTCCTAATCATTTATGGACTCCTCGTATTCTGTAGGCTGGTTGATTTCCTGCTTGAGGGATCAATTGATTTTCAATGTATGCTTTGCCCACAAAGATCATATAAGGAAAACAGAGCTCCCAAGGCTTAGGCTACCATTGCAGAGAAAATGTCAATAATTTCTATATGCTTTTATTTGGGTAAATATTATCAAAACTTATTTTGGATTTCTTCCTTACTTCTGTCAGAGGTTTATTTTATGCATCCTTGATTCCCCTGGGAGTACGCTATAAAAAAGAAAGAAAGAGTATTTTGCTGAACAGTTTTACTTTACAAAATATCAATGATGGCAGCTTTGCACTCAAGGCTACCAGAGAAAAAAAACAACCAAGGTTTGAAATATTAAGGACTGACAAAGACAGCCATTGTTCGCCTGCAAGGGGAATGTCTTTCTTCCCCTGACCTTGCAAAATATTTACAGTGGGAGTGAGAAGCGTGTCCTTGAAAATGGTCCGATAAGGTGAATCAGCTAAAAATTGCCTGCTGTCAGGGGCTACTGTGCGACTGTGAATCACTCATTAGGTTTTATCAAGCCAGATTTATTGTGTGGCCACCTTTTGTACGGCACTGCCAGATCTGAAGCTCGCAAAGCGTCCCTCGTCTTATTACTGGCTGCTCTTTAATAGCACACAGACAAAATGTTCTCAAATGCAACGACGAGGACAGCTTCATTGGGCAAAATGAGGGACATAGATGCAGAGAATGCTGTACAGTAGAGTGACAAAGAAAGATTGATCCTTTTTATCCCTTTGTCCTACTTCCTCACAGTCATTTGCACAAGCGTGTTTGTGTCCCATCAATAAAACAAACATCAGAGAAAGAGCCTGCAAAAAAGAAACGCCAGAAAAGGAGAAACTCTGTGCAAATATGAACGGCTGCATCCATCAATTCACATTTTAGCTGTAAAATATGTACTCGGTGCACATTCCACTCACTCTTCTGTAGCTCAGCCACTGGGGTGTTCCTGTCACTGTGGTGACAACTGTCTTTTTGGAAGCTGGGAAAGCAAACCTGTGTGATGTGGATGGTGTAAAGGAACAGGTTGTCATGAATAAATACCACTAGAGGCTTTAGATGTATGCAAGCACCTGAAATGGGAACCTGAAGGGGTCTGCTCAAATCAAAATGTCTTTTGAGATGCATGAAAGACTAGTGAAAAGATGTCTTCATTCAAGTCCTGGGTGTCTGAACCTTGTGCTTTACATTTGACAATTTATATCACAATAAAAATAATAACCCACAAAAGCTGTTCACAAAGGCAGGTACAAAGGTGTGGAAGTAGAAGATATATTTAGAATAAATGGCTTCTGAGATGATTAATGATCCGCCATCTTATTTCCTCCCCATCCTCCTTTTTACACCATCTGTCATTTCCAACACTCCAGAAAAGTCATTTCCTGACATTCTGCTCCTGGATTGGCACATCCAAGCCACTCTACCTTTTCCTGTGTGTATCATTCACTGTGTGCTATAGGAATGATATGCAGCTAACTTCCTCATCTTTGCCTGTAGCTCTGTCTGTATTTTAAGGCAGACTTCAAGAACAAATTGTAGGCCTGGTAACCACAAACCATCGCAAAGACATTGGCTTATGTGAAAACCAAGTATGTGCTTGAAAGTAAGCATCATAGTATCGGCTTGCAGGGTTAGCTAGTCCAACAGTGCTAACAACTATAGCTCCTCAGTCTACTTAGGCCTACACTTGCTAATTAAGAGTATACAACTGAGCTCACTCTGATAAGTATTACCACATGAAATATGCTAAGAGAACCCAAAAGGTGTAGCTTTTAGCTAGGCAGAGAGCAGTATTCAGACAATGCGAGAAAGATATGTGGCCACTGAATCCCAGCAAGCCAGCTAAAAGCAGCATACTTTTTATTTTCCATGGTCAAATGCAATAATTCCAGCAGGTCCACATCTTCTCATGTTCAGTTTCTGTCCATCAAACTACACAAGCAACTGTCTAATGTAATTGTCTACTAGCATGCTATAAATTCCAGCCACTTAGCAGAGTTTATCCAAGAGGTGCGCATGACCAATAACTTTCTGAATAATTAGCTCTTTCTTCTTCTTTTGGCTACTCCCTTAGGTGTTACCATAGCAGATCATCTGCCTCCATTTCTCCTTATCGCTAGCTTCCTCTCCTGTCACACCATCCCCTCCTTCACTCAATCCATGAATCTTATCTGTGGTCTTCCACTGTTCCTCCTGCCTGGCAGTGCCATCCATTGTCCAGTATATCCACTATCTCTCTTTACATGTCCAAACCATCCCAGTATTGCCTCTCCAACTTTATCTCCAAACTACTCAACCTGCGTTTTCCCTCTGACTACCCATTTCTAATCTTGTCCCTCTTGGTCACTACAGATTAAAATTTTAACATCTTCAGCTCTGCCTCTTGTCTTTTTTTAGTTACACTGTCTCTAAGCTAGACATCATAGCAGGTCTCACTACCATCTTGTAAACCTTACCTTTCAATCTTGCTGCTATCTTCCCTCCCCGCACTCTCTTCTTCACCTCTCTTGTGCATTGTCTGTTGCTTTGGATAGTTGACCCCCAGGTATTTAAACTCAGCCACCTTCACTAACTCTTCACTGTTACACCAGAGTCCATCTCATTCACATTTCCTCTTATCTCTTTAGCATACCTCCGCCTTTCTCAGCTCTCTTCCACCTGCTCTGACTACGATGTTGTGGGCACATGTCATAGACCATGAAGACTCCTGCTTGTCCCTGTTAAGGACTACTCCTTCTACTACTCCTCCTCCTGCTACTATTAATAATAAATATAAATGCATTTGTATAGCACTTTTTAAAGTACTTCACAACTGGGACGAAGACTTATACAACATTCATACACAGAGATGTCATATATTTGGCCTCACATATGTATTTTTTGTGTGTTCTGTAGCCGAAGGTTCTATAACCTCAAAAGCCTGTTCTGGATTTAAAATGAGACCATGCAATCGTCAAAAGTGACCCCAATCAGACCAACTGCTTGAATAAAGACTTCCCAGATCACTAAATAAGCAGGAGCATGGGCATTGTCAGTGTGTGCTACTTTCAGCTGCTCCCTTATTCACAGGGGGTAGTTCTGCATGTTTGATTTGACAGATTTTTAGCCGGATGTCCTTCCTGATACAATCCCAAAGGAATTGATGTCTTCTTCCAGGACTGAGCCAGGGGTCTTTCACTTGTAAGGAAAATGTATACCAAGGAGCCTCTATTTAGGTCTTTGTTAGTAATTAATAAAGTTTTTAAATTAATTCTGAATTTCGCTGGGAGCCACGGGAAGGGAAGAAAAGGGTTGAGGAGTGAACACTGGCTATTATTTAGTATATGGGCTGCTTTTTGAACCAAGTGAAGACAGGAGTGTAAGAGAAGACAAGGGAAGATTAAAGTGTGAACTAAAATGCTTTTATGATTGTGTAAACTGCTTGTTTTTATGTTGCTTTTATTATTCTACTGTGTACAGTGTCCTTGAGTGTTCTGAAAGGCGCTTTCAAATAAATTATTATTATTAAAATGTCCAAGTTGCTGCCTGATAGTGTAGATTAGATTTTTTGCAATGTTCCTTGCATGAAGCAAACAAGACTGGATGAGCTTAGAAATGTAGGGTTTGAAGTTTAACTGCTGCAAAATCTAGCAGAGCCTGGTTATATCAGAGCAGATGCAGCATGCTCCCTCTGTTTTGAAGTCGTGCCCCTAAAGACCAGCACTGTCAAGGTCATGCTTTGTTAGCTTAGCGGCACAAATCTGTATATTTTACGTTTGTCCATGCTGCCTTGATGAATAAAAATTTATATGGAAGTAATTTGCCTCTGGTGATCTATTTTTAAATGCTGAGGTGACTGGGCCAGCAAGAGCAGTTTCACAACTCAGTGCCCTTTGCTATGGCTGTTATATAGAAGAAACCACAATGCCGCTAGATACCACTGAAAGTCGTGCTCACTACCGATCTAAATGTCATTTAAAGACAGCAGTTAATAAATATAAAGGATTTTTTATTAATCTTCTCTCTCAGCTATAAAAGCCCTTAACACGTAAAGAGTTCTCTGTATAGGAATATCACCTGTGTTAAACACTGAAAACATACAGAGACATAAATGTTGGAGCTGTGGCAGCAGAGATGAATGCCAGTGAAAGGCAGTGGAAGGTCAAATAAAAGCTGAAGAGGTATTTTAACTTTTTGCGGATTCAACCGTAAAACTCAAGTAGTCCTCTTTCCCTGCACGGACATACTTCATTTCTTGAACGTTTACTGTCTGACAGTATCCTTGTGGACAAGAAATGAAGCAATGCAATGTTATATAAAATATATGTCTCTCCAATTCCATCACTTACTTTTCCCAAAATATCCTTTTATCCATTTGTCCAGTCTTCCTACTGGGGCAGAGCAGGGTAATTGAAATCACCCTGTGGTAGTCTCTTAACACTTGAGGCTAATGGCTGCTCTGGTCCCTGTCAGTCAATGAAGTGCCCTGCTGACTGTTTTTCTATCTGCTTTCTTCTCCTTAGTTTTAAATGAACAGGGAGGAATGACCTGCACGGCTAGGATTCCCTTTTTCTTACGATTTCCATTGTTGTGCAAGCTTAAAAAACTGGAGATATTAGTGTCAGGGCATATGTTAATAAAGCACTAAACAAGCAGGATAAGAGCAGGAATAAAGAAAAG